GCTGGAACGATGGTATGGATTTTTCGCTCTGATATTTGGAAGTGAATAAAGCAATTCTGACGTACATGCAGTCTACCCTCTCCCAGATCGAGCTCAAAGCTCGCGGTTTCTATTATCATCTTTTCGGCCGGCCGTAAACCATGCCTGCTGTGTTTTGTTTAGCGAATCCTGTCTAGTTCATGACCCATTCCTTTTGTTGACACAAAAAAAGCAAAACCTATCTACTGTCTGAGCTATTAGCTTTGCATAATTGGCGTACATTTATAATATACAACTTCGTTCTTGTAAATAGATCGCTGTTAGTGGGCAAATATCAACCTTATGTTCATTCATACGAGGTGTCTATGCCAAAACGAGCAGAAGGGAGAAGCTCTACCTGCGCGACATAGTTGGAGCGAAAGTAATATTATGATACAAGCGAATGTTCTGGAAGCTTTGAAGAAGAGAAACAAGAAAATTTGCAAACAGATGTGACCATAAAATACGTCCCAGAAACTCTAATGTCCAGGTGATAAATTTTCGACTAAAAGTAACCAAATAATTTCCGACTAAACTTGCAAACTCCGCAAGAAAGCCAATAAACGGCAGACTACATCGTGAGCAATAAGCGACATGCATGTAGAACACGGAAGGCGTATCAGTTACGCACTTTTGTTGCTACGAACAGCCTCTCCAGAAAGCCTTCGCGTCTATACATATCCAATTGGCGCATCTCTTCCAGGACGTCAAAGTCCACGCCGTCTCTTGAATATCCAAGTGTGTCATAGGGGTGGAAGAATCGCACTTCCGTACCTTCGTTTATCTGGCGGGAATAGAGTTAGACAATATGCCGAACCTCAGCATAACAAAATCGGCATACCGTTTGCAGACATTTTGAATCAAAGAATTGATCATTTCTGCGATTATCGAACGTTGCCTAGAGCATTTACTCGTCAGCTAGATCCACACAGTGTCAAGTGTTCGAGGCGTACCATCACCCAGTCAGGCTCGACGACGAACCCGTGACGCGGAATTTTCAAACCCTTCCAGGGGAATTGGTCGACAGGACGGTGGGTATAGCGCCCTCGAGTCTCCTGGACTGCGATGGCGAGATGGGCAGGCTGGGGACGAACAGGAGGAGTAGGGGTGGCAAACTGTGCCATCATTTTACGTATTAATTGAAGGTATCCAAGACAGGGGAAACGCGAGGAAGGACGAGAAATGGACGCAAGAATGAGTCCGACGAAAGAGAGAGAGTTACTCCAAGTAAACTGAAAGAGGGAGAGAAAAATGGAGGCGGAGAAGTGGGGGTGATGAAAGCATTCGGATTTTAGGGCAACGACGAATGAATTGAAGACAAGCGAGGAGGGCGTTGTCCATTTTCAGCAGCGACTCGATTTCCAGACCAAGCAGCACGCGTCTGCGAATCCGGAGGCAAATCGCTGCTCGTCAAAACTGCTTCCGTTAAGGCCTCCAATGCCCCGCATGCTACTAGCAGAGAACTCGAACGACTGGAATTCAGCATTTAGCATCTTCAGTTGTGCTTATGTCGTCCATGGTAGAGGTGAACGGAGACGAAAGCAGCCGCGGACATGCCAGTGTCCTTGTTCCTCTTGATCGGTTCTGGCCACAATTTTCACGTCACACCTCGTCCATCCCACCTCCTTCACTTCACTTCCGGGCCCAGAACACTGGGAACGGCTTCCGAGCAGTATTTTAGGAAAAGGTGACGACGGCCGATGTGTGAGCCCATCTTTCGGTATACATGATGAACGCGGTAGCACATCTTGCGGAGTGTCCCATCACAAAGCCTTCTACTTTACCTGAAATGCCGCTTGGTTGTATGATGCCTTTCATTTTCAAAAATACACCATGTCTTGTACCAAGAGCACGTTCAATGACTAAATGTTCTCGTTTAGGGGGCATTCGTCCAGATTACCCGTCGTGTCTCGAAAATACAGCTTTCTTCGTCTATCGCCTTATATTCCTCGCCCGTGTGCATCTGTTTGCTTCACTCCATCTCTGAGCAGCCACCTGAACTACCCAAGTACTCTCAGAGACTCTCAAATATCTACTCGAGAGCTCAGAAAGAAAACCCTGTTCATTTTCGACATTGACTGTGATGACCTAATATGGAAGGTGAGTCAGCTGTATTGATGAGTCGCACAAAAGACACGCACAAGCTCTGAATATCATTCTTAGATTCCACGATGTCGCTCAACCAAGGCCTTCCAATGCACTTGTTTCATTTCCACGAATGAAGGAGATGCGCCCGAATCACGTTCAATTACGTTGAGGCCGATTTTGCAAGACTCGGCAAGAGACAGGAGCCCACTTGAATAGAGAAGACTTCAAGACCCTCAAGCTGTCAAATTGCACGAGCCTGGCCGAAATGAAGCAACAGAAACTTGCAGAAGAAGCTTGAGTAAAGACTGTCAAATTGATCAACATTCCAGAAGAAGTACGAACAAAAGAGATGTGATTATTTACCCGAAGAAATCTATGGCCTTAAGATGTCTCCGATACTAAGGTTCATGCTCGTATTCTGATATCTCCTCCAACAAAGAGCAAGGAAATGGACCAAAGTTCATGACGTCTTATCCGCCAGCAGCCAAAGAAATTTAAGCAATCGTGTCTGTGTACGACAGATCGCAGAACCTGTGCGATGGGTGGGTTGTCCCCCCTCTGGTGTAGACCAAGATCAGACCTTGAAGCACTGTCCATCACCGCCACTGAACATTGAGCCAGCCCCGACGCTACATCCCACCCGGATATTGTGGCCAGATTTTTCTTCCGGTGAGCAGAGGTCACCTTGACGATTCCACTCCTCCAGATAGCTAAATGCTGGTCCCCCCCTGCATCCTGTTCCCCCTTCCTCTTGTGGTACTACTTTCCCCTCTTCTCTTGTCCAATCAGCTGGGCTTTGTAGTAACGAGAGGGATCGGTAAAAAAGAACAGGGCATGTCGCAAATGAAGATTATCGCCTCAAGCCATGACGCGAGTCAGCTCGTTTCTTTCGGAATCTGCCAGCCACTCGCTTAGAGCGAAGTCTCCACAAGTTTGTCACCAGTCCGACAAGCCATTCGCTTTGCCTCCTACCTCTATTCGAGCTGTCAATGCTGACTGATGTTGGCAAATGAAGAAGAATTTTCTTTCGGGATTTTGCGAGCGTGCCTTTAAGTTCCGTGGAAAGCTGGTACAAACTCGATAAAAAGTTGGTAGCACTCAGCCCTCGTCACGCACCAATCCGTTCACGACGTTCTCGAGTCGCCGCGGTAAAACGTGAAAAAAAGTTAGGATCACTATTCAGGGCACCGGAAACTCATATGGTAACTTTTTGGGTCATGGTGACAACGTGCAGAATCGACAGCAATTTCAAATGTTCGATGCCGCCAGCAGTTAATGCCATGTCGGACTCTACTGGATGTCACACGTCAATCGGAGGAAGCTTGTCATTGACATTTTGATCAGGTACTGAGATAGAACAGGATACGACTGCTATGTGCAGAATGCAGAGATATTTTGTGCTCTGATCATCCATGTTACTTATAAATACTAATACGCACACCTTAGTGCACGGTCTACACACCGGAGCATTTTGTCCATTTGGATTATTGTACTGGAATCAAATTGCTCAGGTTCAATTTCGCGAGCAAGCACAATAGTATCTCTAAAGAATATGTATAGTGGTGACCTTCTGGAGCGATAACTCTTCCAATGTTTCGCTCGTTTCCATAGACTATTCCACTACAATGAATAGAACCACCGTGCCTTCTTGAGACAAGAGCTAGAGCTGTTGAGGAAATTCCCATAGGACTGTCTGATAGTTAGACTATTAGTATATCTGCCTAGAAGAAGGTGTAAAGGCTAGTAAGAAGAATGCTCACGGCGCTTCTTATACTATCGTTTCAAATGTAATTCATCCACTAAAATGAGAGTTGCTGAATTCCTTTGTGTTCCATTGGAAGGTTCGACAAGTTTACTTCTTCATCAGGTATTGAGGGATAAGCTCTGTTTACCTGGCTAGCTGGATGAATACGATAGAATAACGAGGCGAGACACATTAGGGATTTGGTGAACGAGAGAATTCCGAGAATTCTCACACAGAATCCTAGGTGACTTGCCAGGCCTTTGACATCTGGATGAATGCTCATCACTAACTATGCCCGATATAACAGGCTCTGAAAGGCTTTAGCAAATGAATGCATTGGAGAACAAAACGGAAAGGGAGCAAACATGAGGGCCTCACTTGTTCATAGCCTAAGCCGTCCTCACACCGTCATTCCTCCTGCCATCATCTTTTTATCTTGAAAATCATGCTCATTTTCCTTCCCGTTTTGCACAACAAGAATTCTGGACTGTCCAGTGCCAGTAAGGTGTGCTCGTGTGACTTGAACGCATTTGCTGCCCTCTTTGAGTGTGGCTTGCGTCTGCCTTCTGAAACACTCAAGATATGCTCCAAGAAATTCTAGCATAAATCAAGATAAATTGAACGGAACCTAAAACAGACCGAGATTTGACTGTAGGGCGACAAGAGGGTATGACAGACGGACATCCCTGACAGTGAGCAGAAGACCAGGAACTAGGCGAGAGTGGCACGGTCTGGCAGATTCCGAAGATTCAAGAAGCGGGCTGACTCGCGTCCTGACTTTACCCAAACTGCATCTGTTTCGTTGCCCTCTTTACATCTGTTATTCCCTCCAGCTACTTCGAGACCAAGTTGCATGGACAAGAAGGAAATAAGAAACTGGTCCGGGAGGGAAAAGGAGGGATTATGGAAGAGGATGGATTTGGATTGATCAGACGAATCAGACGAAGGACGCAGTCGTTGCATTGAAATGTGTCTTGCTCGCAACATTTGTTTTCTGGCCACGTAGGTGGCATACGAGCCTGTTTGCAAGCTGATGAAATATCCGAGAAACTTGGATGGATTTGCCTCGTGGTTTGATTTGGGTTTATCGGAGATATGATGAATAGGTCGAACTGCACAATACAGAGTCTCCAGTCCATTTATTGGCAAGCGCGAAATCCATTACTCGTGCCGTTTCTCTTCAAGAAGCATTATATGATGTTCTTGTTGTTACTTGCGCGTCTTGGAGGAGCTTTCATCCGGAGGGGATTCGAGAATTTGGCGATGGATCTCAACGTCGAGACTGTCGTTGGACACTGTGGTCCTTCCGGTACTGTAGTTCCATTTACCTTCTCCTTGTTTCTGAAATATTGATCTTGTTACCAGTTTCAAACTTGAACTTGTGTATGCATTTTCAATCTCCAATCTCTTGACAACTTGGTTGTTTGAAGGTTTCTTGGGAAACAGGCTATCTCCTTGTTTCTTGAGACGTCGACTTTGATGCAGTCCACCTTGGAGAGGTCGCTTTTGCTTTGCTTTTTGAAGTGTATGAAATGCACAGAACGGCTGAGTTGAGCAACATCATGGTTTCCTAGAAATGATATTCAGCAGGTGTGCGTGTGTCTATTGTCAGAACCCATCAAAAACTCTAGCTGACTCACCCTGCCATATTAGGACATTTCTGCCAATTCCTCTGCGCTGGACACAGTTCCTCTGGGTGCTCTTGAACGGGTTTCCGAAGATTGGAAGAGAACGAGAGGAGCTCTGAGAACCCGGCTGAAAGACTATAAGAGCAAGAACAGATGCAATGTGGTGAAGAATACACAAGATACTTCGTTAAGAAAGCCAGAGTTATCGTGCACGGTCGAACGCGAGTTACGCATGCGCCTTGACGTCAACGAGTCCTCGTACAAGAAGCTACAGGCCTCTGAAGATGCAGAAACATTCCAAGCAAGAGATTCTCCAAGGCAAGCAACACGGATTTTCGAATTGCGGCAGAAATACCAGGCACCCCACCTCATACATTGCGCTTCACCGATCGATGGGCTCGCGCGTTGGTCGTAATCGTACTTGACATACGTCCCGTATGGAAGGTGTATCTGTCGCCATGGAGTGAATGGAGAAAGGAAAAAGAGAAGTGGAAGGAACCGTGGCTAGGAGGACGCGGGGTTTCGGAAGTGACGACGAGCAGCTAAGGAACAGACCAGTACGTCCGTTGCACTGTTGATGTTCACACCGCGGTTGTAGCATCTGTCGCTCCACCTGGCACATATCTAATGTTTGAGCCTATGTCCTAATTGGTTCAAATGCGCCGCCAGGAACTTGCGGGATGCTGCAGAATCCAACGGAAGCATATTGTACGAGATATGATTTGCCTCCGGATTCGCAGTCGTGTTTCGTGTCTCGCGATCGAGTCGGTACTCAAAATGGAGAACGCTCTCTTCGCTTGGCCGCAATACATTCATTACGATCCAGAATGCTTCTACCACCCCAACTTCTCTGTCACCCTCTTTCTTACGCTCACCCTCTCACCTAGCTTGCTCGGAGCAAATTCCTCTCTTACGTTCTTTTTTCCTTAACTCGTCTCGCATTCTCTCTCTTTATTCACGCCGCTCCTGTCTTCTATACTCTATATCAACACGTAAAAAATGGCACAACGTGCTACTGCTACCCCTCCCGCCCGTCCTCAGCCCTCCCAGCTTGCAATTGAGTTTCAGCAATGCCAGAGACGATGTGCGAATCGTCCGGTAGACCATTTTCCTTGGAAGGATTTCCATTTGAGAATGTCAGGGCATGGATATGTTGTGGGCACTGATTGGGCGATGGTATGAACATTCCTGGTCTTAAAGCAGGATCGTACACTGACTAAGGTGTAAGACGACGTTCGATACGCGTACGGAAGACCAATTCTTTGACCATCGGCGCCTTCAGACTGTGAGATTTTAACGTGTATTGCAATGGTATACAGGTCTAACGACTGGCCATCATGCCAGATCGATGAAAACACCGAAGTTCTATTCTTTCACCCGTTCGACCCTCTTAACTACTCAACTGATTCTCTGGATTACAACACGGTGGAGGACTGTAAGGATCAAGCGGACAAGCCTGTGCAGGAAAGTGTCTTAAAGAAAATATATGCTGGAACGATGGTATGGATTTTTCGCTCTGATATTTGGAAGTGAATAAAGCAATTCTGACGTACATGCAGTCTACCCTCTCCCAGATCGAGCTCAAAGCTCGCGGTTTCTATTATCATCTTTTCGGCCGGCCGTAAACCATGCCTGCTGTGTTTTGTTTAGCGAATCCTGTCTAGTTCATGACCCATTCCTTTTGTTGACACAAAAAAAGCAAAACCTATCTACTGTCTGAGCTATTAGCTTTGCATAATTGGCGTACATTTATAATATACAACTTCGTTCTTGTAAATAGATCGCTGTTAGTGGGCAAATATCAACCTTATGTTCATTCATACGAGGTGTCTATGCCAAAACGAGCAGAAGGGAGAAGCTCTACCTGCGCGACATAGTTGGAGCGAAAGTAATATTATGATACAAGCGAATGTTCTGGAAGCTTTGAAGAAGAGAAACAAGAAAATTTGCAAACAGATGTGACCATAAAATACGTCCCAGAAACTCTAATGTCCAGGTGATAAATTTTCGACTAAAAGTAACCAAATAATTTCCGACTAAACTTGCAAACTCCGCAAGAAAGCCAATAAACGGCAGACTACATCGTGAGCAATAAGCGACATGCATGTAGAACACGGAAGGCGTATCAGTTACGCACTTTTGTTGCTACGAACAGCCTCTCCAGAAAGCCTTCGCGTCTATACATATCCAATTGGCGCATCTCTTCCAGGACGTCAAAGTCCACGCCGTCTCTTGAATATCCAAGTGTGTCATAGGGGTGGAAGAATCGCACTTCCGTACCTTCGTTTA